GGGTATATGTGTTTCGGTGATTGCAGTTTAATTATGTCACCGCAGTATACCATATTGTAGAAGGTCATATTTTTTTTACATTTTAGGATGGATTTGATGTGGTGATTCAGGTTGCCATAAAACACACGATTGCTCTGAGTGCTGGGCTTGGGAAATATGGCTTGGGAATATGTGAGATCAATAGACGCTTGATGTGTTCCAGTTCATTTGTCGAGGTATTGAAGGAACGATGAACCAGAACAGAACATGCGCTGAGCTGCACATGCCCATATGAGATTCTTTTCTCACATTTTATGAATAAGACTAAAGCTGCGGTAAAGCGAAAACTAACTTTCAAACCACAAAACCATTAATATGTAATAATTTTTTCAAACTCTGTCAGATCACTCTACCTTCTAAGTTTTAAGCCCAATGTGTCAAATGGTGACTCAAAAGATACATGTTTTGTAATGAGCTGAAGACAGCCTGCGATGGTCTGATTTGTTAATTACTTTTTTTTTTACAAGACTTTTTCAGTTGGGACAACAACACGATTTGGTAGCCTTAAAATGAGCATTTATCTGTTATTTTCAGGAAAGTTGCTGCTGTACTTGCTTCTCATGTGAAAGCATCAGGAGAAGTCTTACTTTAAACTCTGGCTCGGATTGCTTCATTTCTGGATTAGTTTACTTTGTTAGCGTCCTCATAATCTGATAAAAAGGATTGAATATTTGGTGGTTTTCAACACAGTTTAATCCCACACTTGAATGAGAATTGTCAAAGATGAAAAGAGTTGAGTGGGTTGAGTTGAGTGCTCTTCCACACAGCTCACTCAACTCAACCAACCAGAGGTTTTGCAACACACCAGTTTGTTGGGAAACTTTATGGAATCATTGCAATATTATTGGCGGGTGTGCATAAAAAGTAAATAAAATAAGGTCGGGAATATATAGCTCCGAAAATAAATAGAGCTTTGACGGAAAAAAGAATATCCTTTACTTGCTCATAGCTGCTTAAAACATTTAGAAATGTCATCACATGTTTATTTGTGTTTACCTAAATGTTTTCTGGAACCCAGGTTTATTCTAGACAATGTGAGGTTTCATAACAACCAAATTCCTTCTTTAAGTGAATGGGGACTTGTTATTGGAAGATTCCTCCTGCTTATTGTTGAAATATATCACTGAACAGTGACTCAGTGTTGTGGTTCACATTAGCACTAATAGTTGTTCATTAAAAAGTCATTCGATTAGAACGAGACAAAACACACAAATGCATTTATAAGGTCTGTTGATCCTCATCTCGTCCTGGCCAGTGTCAGCTCTGGTATTGTCTGTGTGTCTGCTGCTGTGGTAATGTGGCCGCGACAGGTGTTTTCTGCTTTCATTCAGGAGACACACAGCAGAGGTCTGCATTCACAGGCTTTAAACAGAAAACAGTTCTATAATGATAGTGTTTGCTTTAGTCACATGTAACTGTTACTAATATCAGTTAGTCCTATTTATAATATTAGTTTGTCCTTCCTCAAGAGGAGGAGCTCACATACTAAGTATTAAGGATGCATAAGATTGACAGACAGATCAATGTTGCGTGTGCAGTGTGCGGCCGCTGTATCAGACTGTTGTGGGGAAGTGGGAGCTGAGTCCAAACGCAAAACCTTCGATTTAATACAATACAATACAATTTATTCTTGTATAGCCCTAGGTCACAACAGAAGTCATCTCAGAGGACTTAACAAAACCATTGAAATCACCAACACAGGTCAGAGAATCAACAGCCAAAACACATGGAGAATATAAAGCACACACAGAAGAAAATGTCCATACATGTTGTAGAATGCTAAAGTGTCCTGATCATCACGAATCCTTTCTGTTGGACACTAACTGTCCAACAAGACCCTCCTGCATCGACAAGGAAAAACTCTTAAAAAACCCAGTGGGAAAAAGTGAGAAACCTTGGGGAGCACTAGGGAAACCCACAGGGAGGGAGACCCATATGAGAAAGGGATCCGCTCCTCCGGACGGACAGGCTAATGATCTAGGACCTAAGCTAGCTACAGAACGTGGACCAGTGGCCGCTGAACGTGGACAGGTCCGGTGCAGGACCAAAGCACTCCCAGGCGGGTCGGGCGGGGCAGTCCGCTGATTTAAGATCAGATAAACCAGCAGTCGAAATGAGTTTCCTCCACAGAGTAGCTGGGTTCTCCGATAAGAGATAGGGTGAGGAGCTCAGTCACACTTAAGTTTTGCTGCTGCTCTACTAAAGTGTAGAGAGCAATCAGTTGAGGTGGCTCGAGCTTCTGTTCCAGAGGCCTCCTGGATGCCTCCCTGGGTTGTTGTTCTGGGCACATCCCAGAGATGGACCTCTTTAGACTGCTGACTTAAACAAAAATAATCAGTCAACCTGCCCATGACCCTGATTGTAGAAGTAAATTCACAGAGTAACAGTTGCACACGTATGGCAAATTAATTTACTTCAGGATTATCATAATTCATTCAAATGGTTGATTTATAGTTTTATACACTAGGCTAGTTTTCATTTGTGCTATTTGGGAACCACTCCATTGCAAATGACAATTAAACACCAAAACAATGAATTTGACTTTTCCTTATGAATATTTTTTAGGCTCGAGTTACAGCAGTGTTTTGAGGACTGTGTGCTTGAGCAGAACAATTTGTAATCTTTATATTCTGTCAGTCTCTGCTTTCATTGACCGTCATTGCAGCTGTAAAGATCTCTCACAAGAAACACAAATCAGGAAATCCTTGAGTGTCTTCCTGGCTTTAGAATAAAAGATTGGTAGTTAAGACTTGGTAGTTAAAATAGTGTCTCTCTCTGCATGTGGATGATGGCCTTTCTGCGTGTGAGTCATCTGTACTTTTCTTGAATTTACACCTGACTTACCGTAAATGATAACATCTCTTTTTTTACTTAATTCGACAACGCACATTTCTGACATCACAAAACCAATTTCACACGTTCACTCTGTGCCACTGCGCCTCGTCATTTCTCACACAATAATTCAATTAGAGTTTGTTTTTCCTAAAGTCTGGAAAGTCCATTGACCCAGCTGCCTCTTCTCATTATTCTGAGGCTTGTCCAAGTCACTTCTTTTCTTTTTTTTTCATCGTAATTGCTCTGGATTCTATTTGTTATTTCAGTAAATATGTTCTTCTGCCAGATTTACTTCCTGACACAGATTTTTTCCAACTTTATTCATTATTTTCTAATATAATTTTGGTAACTCTTTTGTTTATAGCAGTATAAACAGTTTAGCTTCAGCTGTCTTTAATGAGGCTGTGAACGCTGAGAAACTAAAGGCTTTTACTTCTGCTGACGATGTGAGGACACAGGGCAATGGTCGAAGTGTGGGGTCATTCCATTATTGAACACACAGATTCAAAGCACTGGTGTAAACCCTTAGATTTACCATAACAAGGAATGTAACATAGAGCTTTAACTTAACTTTTCCTCAAAGCTGCTTTGACAAATCTGCAGCCACAAAGCCACTGTGGCAGTTGAAGCAAAACTGTGTAATAATTTTGGGGGTGATTAAAACCCCTGACAATAACTATTCACACATATTAAGTAATAGAAATGATCCTATTCTCAGGTTTCAAATTATTTCACTTTGAAGACCATATTCTCACCCTGAAAGCCTGGATCTGGGATATATTTAGTAAGTAAGTCTTCTTTATTTATATAGAGCCTTTCTCAGACCAAAGTCACAAAGCACTTTACAATTGTTTTTTCTTGAGCATTTGTCTCACTCTACCCAGAGAGCGAGGTCGCCAGTACAGGAGGCGCATGCCAGACCTATTGTACCCAGACCTATTGTACATGTTTTTAGTAAACCTACGCAGACACGGGGAGAACATGCAAACTCCACACAGAAAGGTCTTATTCCGACAGGAATTCGAACCCAGGACCTTCTTGGTGTGAAGCAAAAGTGCTATCCACTCAGCCACCATGCCGCAGAAGTGAACTATTGTGGTTTGTGATGTTATTCAATCTGTTTTTTGTCTGATATTGTCCTATTTATTTAAAATAAACGACACAAGACCAAATGATAAACAATATACAGTATATTTCCTTTTAGGATGTTGGACATTATTCACAATCTGATGCACAATTCAAACAAGAGATTAGTGAACAGACATTAAATCACAACCTTTTCATAGAGAAGAAACAAAATCTATCACACAATTAACGTAAAAGTTATTTAAACCTGCATAATACATAATACTGACACATCACTTTCAGTATCCGTGGAAGAAGTTTCCAATTCTATTGTGTTTCCAATTTAATACAGGAATGTTTTACTGTAATCCTTGAGTTGATGTCCATTTAAAATGACATGTTGTGTTTTCCAGAGCTCAAGAACAAAAGAGTGCTGTTCTATAATGGTACATTAGTCATGGGACCACCACAAAATGTCCTTCAAGTGATTGTTAAAGGAAGGGACCAGCCTCTGCAAAACCAGGCCTGAATCACATTGATGACATTCAACTTGGCTTCACACTCGCCTCAACTGCTTTACGGTAAGGTTTTCATGACTACATCAGATGGGACACCTGATAGCTTTTCCATCACAGACAATGGAGAAATGGGTCATCGCTGCTTAAAACATCTAGACTTAGTGACACATGAGGTAGATCTATGTTAAAACACGGTATCACACAAACTTCAAGTTTCATCTGACAAAGGAGCTTCACAGAGCGCAGAGATGGGGAGTCATTTGAGAAACTTTCTGTAACTTCAACATTGTATTATTTGCTCTTTATTATTGTCAAATAGGACTGGACTCATTTTTACCTGGATCTCCTAAAAGTAGCTCTCTGACATTTTTGTCATAAGAAAGTAGATCTCTGGGTGAAAAAGGTTGGAGACCCTTCCCTGTGCTATTAGGTTGACAGAAGTGCAAACATGTCTCTCTATGACCTTAGTGCAGATTTTTTCCATCCCTCTCTACAATAATATTTGCCTATTTAGGTCTCATAGTTTCAGTGATTGCATGAGGCTCAAATGCACTTCTCCTCCACACTCTGGGTTCTTAGAGACACCTGCAGTGCGGTGTCTTTAGAGCATGGTAGAGGTGGAAGTCTCGCCTCTGCATGGCTCTGCTCTGAAGTAAACAGAGCTTGTGAGTCTTTCAGTGATGTGTTGAAGCTGACAGGCAGCAGTTCCCGTCCATCAAGCAGCGGTAAAGCAGTCTGTGGGGGGAGTGTGGTGCCTCTGATGTCCTGGGATACCACAGAGTGAGAGTCCTGTCTGGAGATGACTGAAGATTGATGCTGTAAGTTTATACAGCGGAAGTTGCTGGGTCCCTGCTGCCTGCCCCGTGCACCCATCTTACAGAAGAGACACTTGATCTTCTCTATGAGCTTCAGTAGCACAGCCTTCCGCAGCAGGATATAGATCCAGGGGTCCAAGATGGGGTTAAATGAGGCAAAGCGGATAGCTCTCAGGTCCGGATTCTTCTCTAAACGCAGCTCCACTGGGGTCTTGTACAACTGGTTTAGAAACACCTGGGCCTGCCAACAATGAGATGGAATTCATGAAGACAAAGTGCATTTGTTTTTTGTAAAGAAATTAAATATAACAATTATGTTCCTGATTTATAGGCCTATAGTGTAGACTATTTACAATTCAGCAAAGTAAAATGTATGAAAAATTATCTATTGAAAAAAGTAAACACGTAGCGTAAATAAGTACACTCACCACCAGTGGAATGGAGCAGACCAGTATGACTACCGATGTGCCTATGAGCAAGATGACCATTTGGATCTCTGCTCCAGCCAAACGTCCAAAGTTGCGCGCTCTTCTGCGCGGATCCACATCGCGCTGAAGATCTGTGCCCAGAGAAGTCCTGCGCACGTAGCGCCTGTGCATGCGGATCAGAGCCACGCACACCAGCACGTTGCAGATGACAGTGGCCATAATGAGGACAGAGCTTAGTCCCGCGTATGTGAAGGAGTACGCCGCGTCGCTGGTGCGATTGCTCCTCCATTCCAAGAAGCACCAGGTCTGAGGATACTGCTTTCTGACCTGTCCAAAGCCCATACTGGGCAGCGCGCAAAAGAGCGCGTTGGACACGTAGATACCCAACAGTGTGAGAGCCGCCAGCCGCTGATCCACGATGTCGTTATAGAAGTATGCGTGATTTATGGCAATGTAGCGCTCCACGGACATAGCGCAGATGATGCTGAGCCCCGCCAGAGAGAAGAACAGCATAGTGAAGCCAAAGTACTGGCACAGGGGCTCACCCCCGGGCCACGCACCCTTCACGTAAGTGGCGATTGTGACGGGACTGGCCAGCAGCGTGCCCAGCAGGTCGGTCACCGCCAGACCACACACCAGCGTGTAGAAAGTGGTCTCCTTCTGCTCTCTACGAGTCTTACACAGCACCACGATGGCAATCACGTTCCCCACCACCCCGAAGATGAACATTATGGATGGGATTGTTGGCACCATGGTGCGTCCACTCATGGACGGGATGATGGCGACCATTGTGCGCCCGCTCATGGTGTGGTTGTTCATCGCTGCCTCCTTGAAGAAAAGTTTCAACAAGTTTGACGCCAGTATCTCCACTCTAGAGTGCGCGACGCGTGTTCTTTTAAGGGATTATTGAGCAACATGATTAGAAGTAGTAGCTCCAAACTTGTGCTGTATTCGGATCGTGTGCGCAAAGAGCTCGGACAGCAGCGAGACTTTTGGCTCTGCTCTGCCCCTCCTTCTCCTTCTCTTCACACTACCTTTACGTCTGCTATTACACAGGACATGGACCTGTGTTGAAACTCTAATCTTATTTACCTAATGGCAACATATTTCGTTTGCGTCACGTTGTAAACAAACAAGAACATAAATCCACCAAACGAACCGCATCAACCACACGCACTGTTTAAACAGTTGCCTAATTGGTAATAAATAATACTTTTAATGACAGACATAATAATATAATATTTTCGTAATTAGCATGCCCTTGACGTGAGCCTTGCTGTTATAACGCCTTGGACAAATACAGGAAAAAAAAAAAAAACTTGTGGACCACAGTAAAATGTTATCTTTACTAATACCACATAGAAGGGAATTACTGTCTTTGTTTAATGTGCAGAACTTTGTCTGTACATTATAACTATTTGTTTTTCTTTATTATTGGAACATGAAAATACAATTAGGCTTTTATGGAATGGTGAAACACTATGCTGTTAAAATTAGTGTTCTGTATGATCTAATGCAACGCAATGGAAAACAGCTATAAGTCATATTTTGTCACAGGTATTTTGGGTGTCTGGTGGAGTATTGCAGGAATAATATTGACTTTATTACTTCTGTTGTGTTAGTTACTCATAATGAAAAAATAAATTCATAATTCATTTAGGGTGGAGAGGGGGGAAAACTTGTTTCACTATGTAGTCGAAGAAGCTTTGGCAGCTACAATTTTTTTTAGTCATTCCTTGCCCATGCAGGAGGGGCTAAGGACTTTTAAGTATATTTAAGGACATTTATGGACATTTAGAGATAATTATGGACATCGGTAATGCCTCTCGACTGTATCCGACGCTCTCGATGCAGAAGGGTTATGGATATTTATAGATATGTATGGACATCGGTCATGCCTCTCGACCAATGCCTCCTATGGGATTCTTATTATTATATGTGATTCTCTGATCTGTTGTTGGTGGATTGGTAATTTCGTAAAGTCCTTTGAGACGACTGCTGTTAGGATTTAGGGCTATACAAAAATAAATTGAAATGAATTAAAAGATACAAGAGCTAAAGCCAGTGTCACCTAAACTATTTTCACCAATCATAGGGCCTCTTCAAAAAGCAACGTCATTATGAAATCGGTTCCATATAACATCCATAAAAAATTACTTGGTGTAATGCACAACCTCAGGAAGAAGGTTGTGAGTCCCCTTTCGGCCTGGACCTTTATGTGCGTGAGTGGGTTTCCTGTGGGTGCTCCAGTTTTCCCCAACTCGCAAAACATGAATCATAAGTCAAATCCACCAGCGTCGGTATCCCTGACCAAATCAAGCAGGACAATTTTACCTACAGGGACAATAAGTATACCTTAACCTTCAGCATAACAATTAAAGCAAACTATTCTTGCAAAATCTTGAGATAGACGATTAAAAATGAAAAAATACCTTCTTAGTAAAATGTATTCTTGTCCAATTTACCAGGAAGTTCATGGGTCAAGTTAAATTGATCGGAGGGCTGCACTTTGCTCTCGGGCCATAGTTTGGACACTTCTGTGCTCCTATCCAGATTTCTGCAAACTCTGCTGTTACTTGTAAGCACAAAACATCAGTTTTAACATCTTGTACAGTCGCTACTTCCTTCCGTCAGCTGCACTGTAAACCCTCACAAGTAAAGTTTACTTGAAAAAACCATGGAAATAAATTGCGTATTAACTTCACTTGAATTCCTCGAGTACATTGTTTACTTGATATTACCAAGTAACTCAAGTGATTGCAATAAAGTTTAAATTTCTTCTTATGCTCTGACCGGGAATTGTACTCAGAACCCTGTAGTTGAGAGGCAATGGTGCTACCCACTCAGCCACCAGGACACCCTGTCATTGTCACACCTGCCTCATTAAAGACTCTACACATCAAAATGTCAAAAGTGAGGCTTACTTGAACAGAAACAGTTCAATTCAAAGAAAACCCTGAGTAACATAGGCAATCTTTAAATAAACTAACAATAAATGAGTAATATCTACTTACTGGGAAAAATCTATTTAAAATAACTTTGATATCTGAAGTAGGATTGAAGTTAGGGTTTACAGTGTGGGCTCATGGACCTTGACTGCCCAATCTGCCCTGACTTTCTCAAAACACACCAGGCACCTTTTGTTTCTCATTTCTCCTTTCTACTTAGTACATTAAACAAAAAAGGGGAAACCCATAGCAGCCACTTTAGTCACTCATAGTCTGCCTTGAAAAAATATTTATCTTAAACCACTCATTGGTTATAATTATCCTCATCAAGTCATTCCTTTGAGAAAGCGTGGCAGTTATCTAATGCTTTTGTATGGCTGCATGTGTGGCACTTAACGTCATATTTGTTTTTAGTATTTCCAGCCACGGGAGAATGTTCACTAAGTAGATTTAGAAGATTAGCCTTTTCATGAAAGCACTTTTCCTGGATTTGTTTGTGGAAGTCAGATATACCCTCCACTAGAACATTATCAACCTGAAAATATCCATATTTTGGAGAATGTATTGTAGACTAGACAATTGCCTAGCTTGTTTTGCAGCTGGATTTTGTGGCAGAGGAAAGTGCACGGTTTCCGTTTGTTCTCATGCCAATCTACGGTTTCACAACATAGAATTTGATGTAATTTTGCAAATGGTGTAATAAGGGAATAATGGAACAACTGGCTGAGTTTATAGCACTACCGCTTCACAGCAAGAAGGTCCTTGGTTGGAATCCCGGTCGGTCCAGGGCCTTTCTGAGTGGAGAGGAAAGCTCCGTGCGGGGAGGGTCAGCAGAAAGAGCAAGGCCAGAGCTCACATTCGAAAATTTCACAAAGTCAGTTAGTGCAGCTTTAAGATAAGTTTAATGCAACACAGAGGTACAATCCAGGCGTATATCTTTGGATGGCTGACATCAGAAATGAAAAATATGATGAGTATTTCCAGCTATTGTCCATACATACACCAGCTGTATTTGCATTATGTAAACAACTTTTAAACCATAAAACATATAACTAAGTGATACTATCCTTCTAAGTAGTGCCTCGCTCTCAAAACAATTTAGTTCTATTACTAGTTTTCAGATGCATGTATTTGTGTCCTCATCATCCTCATTTAGCCAATCAGCTTAAAGAGTAAAATGGTGACTCATAAGGCTCTTTCTTACGAGTATGGAAGTGATAAACATGTTTGCTAACAAGATGAAGATAGCATGTTGTGATCTGAATTGTTCAGAACAGGATACTTTCACTGGACAAAATGTATTATTTAAGAAAAAAAGTTAGGTGCCCCATCTTTAAATCGACTTATTATCATGCTGAATAATAAAACAGTTCAAAATGCAGGTGTGTGGCACGCTGACATAGTAGAGGCCTTTGGGAGAAGCTGACTTTCCTTGCAGTATGTGCCTTTGGTTTTGGGGAGTTTTAATTCCAGTACTGAGCCTCTGATTTTTCACGGCAGATTACGGTGCGCCGCAGGGTTTTTATTTGTCAGGAAAACAACAGCTCCCATTGAAGGGAAGCAAAATGGCACAGGACAAGCACGGACACATCACGAGGGAGGTTGGTGGAGTCTGGTTTAGTCAAAGGAACCAGTTTTCATACCTACTTTAATTCTACCATGATGCACCAACACGCCCAAATAACTACGCCAGATATTGTGGCGAATCAAATCAGACATGGTTGTAACTTACATTTACTGTGGCTGTCTCATTTGGATTATAAGTGTTACCAAATGTTAATGGAGATTTGTAATTAGACAAATGTTTTTTGTACATTTTTGAAGATAGGAGAGTATGTAATTTGAGTCTAATACTAAGGATGTGCGTGATGAAAACATTTAAATTGAGTACAAATTTAACAGGCAGAAGTGCTGAGGTGTCCTTTATGTAGCTGGAAAAATGGCCATGACAACAATAATTCAATAATATCCTATTTGAGTGCCTCGGTCTTTTAATTGTTGAGTTTAGGATGTTTGTGTGACAATGCTATTGACTGTGAACATTGGCTCATCTCATGTGTTGATCTAAAAATATAATGGAGTAGACAGTTGTGGTTCAGTCCAGCTCCACCCACACTCAATTCTCTTGGGCAAGACACCGGGGTCACCTCTGTCTGCATGAGGACTGACTGGTCATACAGGGAGGGCAGTTCTCTGAGACGGCAAGAGATGGTTCTGTCTATACCACGAGTGAAGAAGAAAAATGCAGACTGATTGCAAAGTTTGGGTCAATCAATTTGGTTCAATCATTGCATGTACTGGTGTGTCCTGAACCAATACAATCCATATGTTACGTATAAATATGTGTTAAGGACAGGTGGAGTTCAGAGAGGTTGATGGCATAGATTTGCATCCAGTCTGGTTGTATTAACCCTTTAATGGTTTCTTCAACCATTTGGAGGATATTTTTATTGTCACTATATCTACGGTACTTGAAGCTTGGAACTGAAATCTACCTCATTGGGTCATCTCTGTCACTTGGTTTTAGGCACTTTTACCATCAAACTGCATATCAACCATTCGGTGGAGGCTTATAATTAAAACATATTTTTGTTATTAGTGCTCCTACATCTTACATAATCCTACGTACATCTTTGATAATCCAAATAATTTCTACTCCATTTTGACCGGAATGTGACCACAAAAGCCTCATGCTTCTGAGACAGGGCCAGCAGATCCATTTAAGAAATCCATTCTTGTATTAAAAATGTATGTCTTTGGACTCAGAGTCGAGCCACTCATTGTGTTTGCAATTAATACACAGTCCCTATAAGTATTTAATATGTTGTGTGATTACATCTGGCAACATTTTACACAGTGCAGCACAGTATC